GCCAATTCTGTTGCGGCTAGCCGCTTGCAGATGGTTTCGCCGGAGGAGCTTGCGCACTCAATGATCATTGGATGCTCCAATGCTCTCAAGTTGCTTGGTTTATTACGATAGACTTAAACTTTAAACATTTTGCGTTCTTCCATCGCGCAGTCGTTACAAGCACTTACTATATATTTTTATCAGCCTGCTGTTTCAGGTCAAAGTCGTGGCCAACTGTCAAAGCGACTTGGAAAGCAGTAATGCTTTCGGTCCCGTGCTCCTTCATTCTGATGCTGCCATCCAACCTGTGGATGGAAGCGTTCAACCGGCGACAGAATGTGCTCCAGCTGCACGAGAGTATGGCAAGGACTGCGGTCCAAACAACATTGGAGCTGATGTCAATGAAATCCGTGGTGCAAGCGATGGGACCTAGTTACCAAAAACTGAAAGATGCAGACTTAGCTGCGGAGCTGACCAAGCTGGGCTGCAAGTCTGTGGTGGGAGGTCGAAAGTCCAAGGACGATGAGGACTCTGGAGCCATCACGGCAAATCTGTTGACCATCGCTCAGCAAGTGGCCAAGTCTGTGTTGACAAACCCTGCCTGCGTTGCATCGCTTATGCAACTGGAGCAAGAGTTTGGGACGCGCAGTCCCTTTCACCGCATGGCGTCCCTGGGGGTGATCGCGAAAAAACCCTCTAGCAGTGCTATGCGAGAGTGGTGTTTGAATTGTGTCGTGGACGGCATGCTCTTTGAATCGCTCTCGCCGAGCGACGTCAGCAAAGGGTCGCTGAGTGGCGACAAGCATCACACTGGGTTGGTTACACTTTATGAGATGAAATGGAAGGCTCCTTAGCTGCATTGTGACGACTTGATAATTTTTCACATGTTCCATTAAGTAGAAGTTCGGTCTCTCAATCTGAAACAAACTTTACTTTAAGATATGGATGGACAGATCCAGCGCTCTGGGGTCTGGCTTCCGGCCCTCTGGGGTCTGGCTTCCGGCCCTAGTTTAAAGGATGATGGCTGGGCGGGACGCATCGGCGCCTGAGGGCAGACACGATGCGGGGAACTTAGTCCGACGACGACTAAGGGCAGACATTCCGGGGTTCGGCTTCCGACCGATTCCGGACGACGACTATCCTGTGGACGCCTGCGGGCAGACAGGACGCCGGGGTCTGGCTTCCGGCCTACGGCTATTAAAATCGTCTCGCCTGCGAGCGGGACCTGCGGGCGGGACCTGCGGGTCGCATCGCCTGCGGGCGGGACCTGCAGGTCGCATCGCCTGCGGGCGG